GCCATCAAGCTGAAGTTAAAGTGACTGAAGGAGTTGATGTTGGTGAAGTGGAACCAAGTATAGATATTAAAGCAGAACAGGAGGAAGACCAAGATTTGACACCAATAATTGATTTTCTAAATGCAAAGTGTTTTGCACCCTGCTTTGGAGAAGGTGTCTAGCTTAAGCCCTGTGACAAAGAACTATTGGGCACAATGGGACCAGTTAAAGCTTGAAGATGGTATTTTTTTCCGAAGATGGGGAAGTGATGACCTGGCAAACATTTATAGCGAGAAAGTTACGGGAAGTTGTGTTGTGTCAATCCCATGATAGTTTAACAGGAGGACAACTTGGAGTTAAGAAGATATTGTGTCACCTGCGGCAGAGATTTTACTGGATAGGTATGAGGCAAGATGTGGAAGAAAGGTGCAGGACCTGCAGTACATGTTGTGCTAAAAGGGGACCAAAGCATAAGGGACATGCTCACATGAAGTTATATCAACTTGTTGCACCAATGGAAAGTAGCTATTGACATTGCTGGTTCTTTGCCCCAAAGTTGTGCTGGAAACAGGTACATATGTGTGTGGTGATGGATTATTTCACCAAGTAGCTTGAAGCATATGTAATGCCAAATCATGGAGCTATTACTATAGCTTTGGCTATTAGTGATTTCTTCTTCGGGTTTGGTATGCCATACGAACTGCATTTTGAACAAGGCCGTAACTTTGAATCAGCTGTTTTCCACGAACGCTGCAAGTTGTTTAGCATACGAAAGTCCAGGACAATGCCACTTCACCCACAGTCTGATGGGATGGTAGAAAAGTACAACTGGACACTTGGACAAGAATTGGCAAAGTTTTGTAATAGCTGCCAAGATGACTGGGATGGCTTACTCCCTCCACAGTTGATGGCCTATAGAACAGCAGAGCATGAAGACACTGGATACATTCCAGCAAAGTTGATGTTTGGTCGGAAACTTCGGTTGCCAGTGGACCTGATAACAGAATGCCCACCTTACGAAGAGTTGTCTGAAAATATGCCAAAGTTCGTGAAAGTGTTATCTGAAAGGATGGATGATACTCATCATCAAGTGCGTTCAAACTTGAAAATGTCTGCTGATTCCATGAAGCTAGTTATGATAAGAGATCTACTGAAGCCAGCTTTGTACCAGGAGACAAGGTGTGGTTGTATAATCCCAGGAAGACAAAAGGGAAGTCTCCTTAGATATATTCTCCATGGGAAGGCCCATATGACATAGTGGATCGTCTCTCAGAAGTGACTTTCCAAATAAAATGTGTTCGGCGAGGTAAACCAAAGGTGGCGCATGCCAACAGGCTTTGGCATTATCACGGTCCAGGACATTTCAGTTGGAATGAATTGAATGAAGAAACAAAAGACGCCACTGAAGACGTGTCACATGGAAAAGCCACTGTCGAAGAAGAAACTCTACCCGGTTTTGAGAAGGAGAACAGTGAAGCCGTTATGAAGTTACTACCACTCATGTGACTGCTACCAATAATGGGACATTTCCTGATGGAGCAGATGAACCCCACGTGATGCAGAAGCCACTGAGACGGAGACCAGTCAGGAAAAAGATACGTCCTGTAAATTTAAGAGACTTTGTTTTATTTTAATTTTGTGTTTCTAAATTCTGTATATTTAATTAAGTTATTGCTGATTATCTATTGGTTAAATGTAAGTGGCTATTGTTCGGGACGTACAATACTAAGGAAGGGACAGTGTTACGACATCGGAAGTCACGTGACGCTGGGAGTATGCGCGCTGGAGTTTCTCGAAGGATCATGAATTTTCCCGGCAACTCTAGTCTGATCAAGATGCCCTCTTTTTTAATATACAAGCCTGGCATGAATTCAAATTCGATGACGAGGAACCCACTTTGAGACTAATAATGGCTGGAGACGGCTTGTATGGGTAATGAAGTAAAACTTTA